CAGCACCGAGGGTTGCGATCCCGTTGCCGGTCCCCGGTCCGGTGCGGGGGCAACACTGAGGGTTGCGATCCGTTGCCGGACACGGAAAAAGACAAAAGACAAAAAAAAAAAAAAAAAAAGAAATAGTGTTTTATTTAATAAACCTCCTTTGATGATCTAAGGCAAACTTGACTTTTGGAATTCCAGTTGGTGTTGATAATTATAATAATTATAGTTGATTTTACATCCATATAGGACTTTACAATTTATAAATACCCTTTGTAGAAATAGTCTTCTTGGGATGATATATGAGTGTACTTCAAAAAATTCATGGGAAAATAGGATACCCCCCAACCCAGGCCAGTCTCCACCATCCAGAGAGGCCTGAGAGCCACCAGTCCCACAGGCCCCAAGGCAGCCACACTGAATTTACAGTCCCTGCGGGATCCAGGCTAGACACCAGGGAGGAAGGAGTGGACTGAGAAACCCCCTGCCACAAAGACTAAACACCAAAGGAAAGATACCAGAAACATGAAAAATCAAGAAAGTAGGACAGCACTAAAGGAAAATAATAACTCTCAAGCTCTAGATCCTATAGAACAAGAAGTCTTTGAAATGACTGACAAGGAATTTAGAGCAACAATTCTAAGGAAACTAAATGAGATACAAGAAAACTCAGACAACACAATGAAATGAGAAAAAGTATATAGGACTGAAAGAAGACATTTACAAAGAAATCAATGCACTGAAAAAGAATGTAGCAGAGCTTGTGGAGCTGAAGGATTCATTCAATGAGATAAGAAACACAACAGGGAGTCTAACCAGCAGGCTAGAACAAGCAGAAGAGAGAATTTCTGACCTTGAAGACGGGCTGTTAGAATTAACACAGGAAGACCAGAAAAAAGAAAAAGAATTTTAAAAATGGAAGATAATCTTAGGGAGATAACAGACAACCTTAAGTCATCAAATATCAGAATCATGGGTATTCCAGAAGGAGAATAGAAAGGAAATGCCATTTAAAACATGTTCAATGGAATAATAGCAGAAAACTTCCCAGGTATAAGGAAAGACACAGATTTTCAGATTCCAGAGGCTCAAAGATCCAAAATATATTCAACCCAAAAAGGTCTTCTCCAAGACATGTTATTGTCAAATCAGCAAAATTCAAAGACAAAGAGAGAATCTTAAAAGCAGCAAGAGAGAAGCATCAAATCACCTATAAGGGAGCCCCAATCAGACTAACATCAGACTTTTCATCAGAAACCCTAAAAGCCAGAAAGGAATGGGATGATATATTCAAAATTCTAAAAGACAAAAATTGCCAGCCAGAAATACTTTAGCCAGCGAGGCTCCCCCTCTGAAACGAAGGACAAATAGTATACTTCTCTGGCAAACAAAAACTGCGGGAGTTCACTACCACATGACCAGCCTTACAAGAAATTCTCAAGGGAGTAGTAAGTTTGGTACCTGAAAAATCAACCATCACTCAAAAAAGAACAAGTCCCGCCAGTAAAATAAAAATGCTAACAATAAAGAGAAAAAAAGTTTATCTACTAGCCCAAGAA